CCCGTGAAGTCATACTACCTGGAAGAGGAGTGAGGATACACGACTCTTCCCATGTGTGCAGTTTGTGCTAGGACCCCTTTCCTGCCCAGAGACAGGAGAGCAGCAGGCCTGTTTTCTCATCTCTGGAGAGGCGACAGGAGTCCCTGCTCTCAATAGACAGACTGGGACCTACAGCAAGTGTTTCTGCTGCTGAGAGAACAGCAGACTGTCTCAACAGATACCCTCTCAACATGGGTAGGCACCATGGCTGTCAAGAATCGACTGCCACTAGGAAGGAGAGAAGCGATACCTAAGCACTGACCAGATAAGGATGGATGGGAGAGTTTCGGACTCTTGGAGGAAGTGGGGAAGGATCTCAAGGGAGGGGTTTACTTGCATGTTTATTGCTTGTTGAACATGACCGTGTATAAAACAGAATGAGAACTAAAATCCGTATTCTTCCACTGCAAATGCCAAGCTAGGAGACAAGGACGCTCTTTGTAGCCTACTCTGCACTCTCCTTGGCTTTCGGCATCTGTCACCTCCAGAAGCAGCTCGGCTCCACAGACTCAGACCCAGTTCTCCCACTCCTCTTGCAAAACACATCCTGCTCCTCTCTGGAGACGCTTGTCAGAGGAGGCAGGGCCCTGTGTTTGCACACTCAGACTGCTCCCTGGCACAGTGCAGCTGGGATGACAGACAAGTGACCTGACTGGACAGCAGACCCTCAACTTCCTCCTTTGACCTCCTCCGTTCTTGTCCCTGCTGCCATCGGCTGTAAAACTGAATTTGTAACTATTTATTTTTAATAAAGTCTAATATCCCAGGGGAGGTTTGGAAGTAAAGGAGAGACCCCAAGGCTGAAGCCAGGTGTAGAGACTGGTGGGAGTGCTGGTGTTTGCTGTTTGTATGGTATCGGTGCCTGGAAGCTCCACCACAAGGGCTCCCCTGTTCCGGGCCTCTCTAGTAAAGACTTACAATAGGAGACTCAGAGAATTTGCTCAGGGAGAAGATCATACAAAATGAATGTATGGAGGGAAGCACTTGCATTAAAAGTACCAGTAGGACGGGTCAAACAATCCTGCTTGCTTTGGAGGTGGGAGTTTTGCCCAGGGAAGGTTTATAGACAGACGTGCTTGACAAAAAGGCAGAGATGTGTCAGATGCTGTTCTAGATGTAAGGATCAAAAAAACCCATGAAGGACCCCAAAGACTCTTTTTTTGTTTGTTTTCTTTTAATTTGGTAGAGGCAAGTGAGAACCAGGGGGAGTGAGGGAGGACATTGACCAGAGCTGGAGCTGTAACATCACTTTGCTCTCATTCAACAAAAGATGCAAAAACCTGAGGAGCCTTTTCCTTTAGGAGCAGCAGAATCACTCAGTATGCTAGAGATTGGAAGGGACCTCAAAAGATCATCTAGTCCTTCTGAACTGTAGATGATATGAGGGCAAACAGACAAACAGGTAGCTCAGGAAGATGGTCCAGGAATCCATCAGTTGTGTTATGGGAAGAAATGGCTGAAGAAATATGTCCCACCCAACCCCTGATCCACACAGCATAAAACCAGCATCTCGATATCAATTTGGAATTAGTTCAAAAAGCAAGAGGAAGGAGGGAAGAAGCAGAAGGGGAAGGAAGGAAACAGTAGGAGTGAGAGGAAGAAGGAGGCACAGCAGGCAAGTGGAGGAGGAGGAAGGGAAAAAGAAGAAGAGAAAGTAAGGTAATATGGAAGTGCATGTGACAAAGAGTGGAGATAGGCTAAGAAGACAGGTGTAGACCCAGATGTGGCCATTTCTCATCCAGGATGTCGGTTCTGTGGGAAACAGCTGCCAACCCAAGCAGTGATCTGACACCTTTGGGAATCCTAGCCAAGAAGGGAAGAGGAGCTGGCAGAAGGATAAAAAGAGAGCAGACAGATGACAAACAAAGAGCAAGGCATCAGGACAGGAGTGGAGAAAGGAAAGGCATCACTCTTAGTGCCTTTCTAATGCCTTCCTCTCCTCCCACTTGGCACAGAGCAGGAACAGGAGATCTTAGATTGTGGTGCCTCCTGACTCGATAGACAGCCTCATTGTTCCACGTGTGTCCCTATCCCACCTCTCCTCCCCAGTGCTAATTAATGAAGTCCCTCCCTCCCTTTATTACTTATTTATTGTCCCCAGAGGGAATAAGCAGGGGCTGGTATTGACCTGGCTTTTAATACAGCTTTCAGAGCTCAGTGCCTGCCACTGGCCATGGCAGCAGGAACAAATTAATGGACCGAGAGAGAAGGACTCTGTGTGTGAGGACACGGGCATCCAGGACACGGGCTGGGGTGGTGGCCTCTAGGAGAGGGGGAATCCATGTGGCTGGGCAGCCTCCCCTCTTGTTGAGGTACAGCATCCTTCAGAGGCAGATGGCAAAGCTTGGTGGGTTCAAGTGCCCACAGCATGGTCATTTTTGTGAGGTGCATCTCAAAGGAGTGAGGGTTCAGGGGAGCCAAGCGAGAATGGGGCAGTTGAGGTGCACCAGGGCCATGGGCTTGCACAGCTGGCGTGGTTGAAGGAGGACATAGGCCAGCATTGCCACTTGCTTCAGCTGGTGGGGCCTTTATGGGAGAAATGGGAAAAGGAGCAATCAGGCTAAAGGAACAAACATCATGTGGTCATGCTGGTATCCCAGTTCCTTCCATCTGTTTGAACCTTCTGGTGGCCCTTTTCATGTCGTGTTTGGCATCACGATGGAGAAGCCACTGAGGAAAATCAGCTAAAATCCTGTCATTCACAATAAAACTGGGAGCAAGCTGTCAACACTGTCAAGTTATTAGAGAGGGGAGAGAGCTGGGGAGGACCCAAGGGACACAAGAGGGCTAAGGGGAGGGGATAGAAGGAAGGGAAGGAAAGGAACAGCCAGAGGGCTGGAGAACAGGGGTGATGCTTAAGTCTCTGCCCACCAGGCACTCCTCCTGCAGCTGTGTTCATGTTGTCAAACAGCACATTCCTCGGGCACACAGAGCCCATACTACGGCATGGGCAAACCACTCCTCCCACTAACAAGTGCTCTTCAGCCTCTGCAAGCTGCACACATGCCCACAGACCTTGCTCCTACACAGCAGTACATATGTACATCCTCTGAACAGGTACTGCGTGTCTGTATGCTTGAGGCACAGAGTACTCGCGCCCAGGTACACGCTACACGTGAATGCCACACATGGGGGTGTAAGCCATCCTATGCCACAGCTTCATCCCAACGGCACCCAACAGCACACACACAAACACCATGTGACAGCAGCATCTATTTCAGCAAGTGACCCTCTGGCTGTGTGTTGGGGACTCCTTTATGCAGCCTGTGAAAGGCCACCGGGAGAACCCATCCTGGAACGCTGTTTGCTCTAAAGAAGGTTGGACATTGTTAAGGGGCCTGCAGATCAGCTCTCCAAGCTATTCACAACCATAAGCACACTGGTACTTTGGCTTTTGCATACAATATCTGGAGCATTGCTTTTCAGGTAGTCGACACACTCTTGTCCTGTGCTCTTCAGAGAAGGTACCTCTACTGCACTCCAGGGCATGAAATCCCCAGGCTCCCTCCCTCCTCCAGGATCTGATGGAGAGGCTGCTTCCCCAGGAAGACTGTCCCTAATCCCAAGGGGCTGGCAGCTGGCTTCTCAGGAAGAAGACACTGCTGCTTTGTTTATCTGCCCGCAACCTCTATTTCCTTTCCTGCCTGACTTCTGAGCTTCTTACTTGGCTTGTTATTAAAAGCTATTCAAATATCAGGAAGATAATGGGAAGAGGAAGGACTTTCTCCCTATGAATAAAATCCAGGCACTGGTTCAGATCCTCCAACCCATGACAGCTAGCTACGCTGCTGTCGGTCTTGCCAGCTTCCAAATGAATGTTGTTGTTGTTTTAAATGACACTTGAGAAACTCGTTTCATGCTCTATTTTTGGTGACACTTTTGGACAGCCCTTTTGAAAGCTAATCGTCATTGGCACCTTTCAACTCACCCAAAACTTGCTCAGCAAAACATTCTGATGCACGCTGCGACTAAAAATATTTTCAAGAACCACAACAATGATCTCAAAAGCAGAGAAAATGGGTTTGGATTTCCATGATCAGGAAATGCTGTTGAAAATGTCCGTGCTCCTTTTCAGCCATCTCGGCTTCACCCAGGTTTTGCCCAGGAGCAGGGCGCATCGCACTGCTCCAGCAGCTACATGCAGGCTTGTGACCTCTGTGTGGCAAAATGCCTCTGCTCCCTTCTTTGAGCTTTAGCAGCCCTTCTTTGCCTTTGCAGGAGGGCCTGAGGTCTCTGCCAGATTTTGGACAGGCAATATGAAGAGGCCATGGGTTTAAATGTAAAAAAAAAGAAAAGAAAAAAAAAAAAGAAAGAGAGAAAAAAATAGCTTTACTTTCCCAGGCCATTAAGGGCTTGCTCTTGCCCCTGCGAAGTCAATGGGACTTTTGCCATTGCCCGTGGTAAGAGCAGAGCTGGACCCTAATGGAGTGCCTCTATTGGAAAACCCCGCCAGCATCAGCCCTGTGCTAAATCCACTGAGCCAGGACAGACTATTGCAGGCTGCACAGGAGGGGGAGAGGGGCAGTCTGCCGAGATGCCGAAAGCATGGGGCGCTGTAGGGCCAGGGGGGTGGCCTCGCTGGGGCTGGGGAAGGGGGACAGCAGAGGGATGGGGAAAGCAGCGGGGGCAGTCTGTCGACTACCATGGCACGGTATCCCATGGCCCGGGATGGATGTCACCGCAGGAGGAGCTGAGACGGTAGTCAGTTTTTGGAAGGGTTAAACAGGCTTCTCCTCCTGCTATGGTTGGCAGGGGGGGTCCTGTCCTCCCCAGTCCCGGTGTGCTCCCGGCGGCAGGACACAGCTCTGGGAGCCTGAGTGGCACTGAGCAAACCGGAGGAGCCCGGCCATTGCCCGGCCTCAGAGCACCATCTAGAGATGAAAGCAAGGCTGGCACCTCTGAAGGTCCTGGCATCTCTGCGGGTCCCGGTATCCCCGCACTTCCCGGCTCCCCTGGATCAAGCGCCGACGCGACACCGCGGTGATAGGCTGGGGCTGGCTGCCCGGGCAGTGCCGTGGGTCAGAGCTGCGAGTGTGGGGTGGAAACCTTTGATCCGGAGGGAAGGCAGGTTCTGAGAGGACTGGTACCTGCCACCAACTCTGAACCCATAACCTGCAGTATGAAAGTCAGCCCACCTAACAGTCAGGCCATGGCTTTCACAGCATGGCCACTGACTCTGAAAGCAGTTCAGATACATACTAACACTTTAATTTCTTCTTGGGGAGAAGCCTGCAAAGCCATGCCAGCTATGGGAGGTGAGGCAGAGATGATCTTGGTTCAGAGTCAGACCCTTCTGATGGAAGGATGTCACATTGCTGCCTGCTTGTCTTTCAGCTGTCTCATAGCTCTTCCTGGTTGCATGTTCCCAGTGTACGAGATTTGCTCCCCTTTTTCCTGGTATCCAGTCCCTTGCTGAGTCACAAACAGCTCGTGGGTGTAGCAGGGTGCTGCTGCCTCTCCCCTGCCACAGGCAGGCCAGCATGCTCCCCTGGCAAGAGAGGGGCAGCGAAACCGCATGGACGTGGAGAAACCCCTCCCTTGAACCTGCCCTTGCCAATGTGAGGAGTGCTCTCAGGTAGAGGGGTTGCAATGCCCCAAGAGCTTTTCTGGCAACCAATCTTTTCATGCCCCCTTGGGACATAAAGTAATGACAGCCTGGCATGCAAACTGCACAGAGCCTTGGCTCCTGGGCTTCTGCCAGCTCCCTGGGAAAACAACACCAGCAGAGCAGTCAGAGGGCTGTCAGTGTATTGCTTACCTTTGACCACATCCCCTCTAGATGGAAGCGGTTAGTGAGGGCAATGACTCTGCTCTCTGGGCAGCCTGGGCACACAGACCCTAAGCAACTCGCTATCAAAGGCAGGTTAGTGTGGAAAGAGGAAAAGTGGAATGATGTGATTTCACTGCCCTGATGCCTGCAAAGAAATTCAGGATGGACACAAACACCATCCTGAAATAGTCTGTGAGACATGGGATATTTGAGCTTTGAAAGTTTGGGGGGTTTTGCCTCTGAAATTAGCAGGACTATTTTCATGCTGGCCCCATATTTGAAATAGCATGTCCTGAAAACTGGGACCTGGTAATGTTTGGGTCCCTGGCTAAAGTGCATTGATAGAGTTGTTTGAATGTCCCAGCGCTACAGTCACTGAGAGTCAACTGAAGGCCTGTATGATACAAAGCCTTGTTATAGAAGCCATGCAACTGAGAGAAAAAGGAGCTTGAAAATGCTTCTGACAGGTGATTAGATGCTCACCCAGCAACAGTCTCTGTGTGTCCATCAGGGACCCGACAGAGGCCTGTGCACCACTCCTGGGGTATCAAACAGGGGAGGACGGGCTGATGCAGAAACTTCAGAGGAGACTTTGAAGATATATATAACACGGCCTGCAGCCTGCACGTGCTTCTCTCAGGGGTAAAATAATGAATCAGTTGGAGAGTGGGTGTGAGCACATGATGGGTGACGCAGACCTATAGCAGAACACTTGGTACGACCCAGAAGGAGCTGATTAAATGTAAGCAGAGAGGAGCCATCATTTAGCTCCAGGCTGCTGGGTTACACCACGTGCCTTTTGCTCTCCAGGATACAGTGTTGTGCTCACTGGCAACTGGGCTGCCTCGAACAGAGAAACTTATGTGACCCGTCCAGTGCTGCTGTGGGGAAGCGGGGAAGAGCTGAGATGAAAGCCAGCTCTGGAATAGGGAGCTGCAGACATGGTGTGACTGGCTGCACCCTGGGTGCCAGGGTTAAGTAATTGTGCCCAAGGAGCCAGCAGTGCTCAGCAAACTGGTAGGTGCCTGTAGCACAGAGGTCTGAGGGGGACAGAGGGGTCTGAATTCAGCAGAGAAGGGAAGTCAGGGTCACAACAGCTGGTGGTGGCTGCTGCAGAGGCGGTACAAGGTGGGGTTGTAGTGGCTGGATAAAGCTGCATGCTCCCTGCTGCTCCGCTTGAGACACAGCTCTCCTGCAGTGGTCAGATGGTCTCATGAGCCCAAAATGCATTGTCAGCTGTTCAAATGCAAGAGCAATTTGTGTATAACATGGGATTTTCTGGGTCCTTGTAATTATTTGATGATTTGTCCTGTGAAGAAGCCTGCAGAGCCCTCAGGTCTTCAATGGCCTCATTGTGTTTGCTACTGCAGTCACAAGACAAGGGGCAGTTCTCAGCTAGGAAGAAAGCAAAGGGGTACAGAAGTGGCTGACAACAAGGCAAAGTGACTTGCCCAAGATCACAGAGCAGTCAGTGGCAGAAGGAGGAATTTAACCTGCCACTGTGGGTTTGAGCTGTCACCTCTGCACAGCTGAGGACATTGCAAGTGATAAATGAACCAGGAGGGGTTCCTAGAATAGCCCTCTGCCCATCAGGCATCTGCAGCTGCACTGAAGCCATGGCCAGGACATTGTACTTCCCTGGGTACGTACACAGCACCTTTGTACCACTGCCTACAACTTTCAACAGCAGCTCTGACAGGTGAAGTGCAGTGCATATTACCAACTCAGATACCCCCGGCCTCCAGATAGCCAGCTGTAGGAACTGGGAACTGTCGGGCCAGAGCGCTTCCCCTAAAATAGCCTACATGGGTCCTTGCAGATACAAATCAGCACTTTCAAATCACACATGGAAGTGAGCAGGAGGCCACAGCGGGCTCAGACGAGCACGTCTTGCAGTCCCTCATGAGCGACAGCATGTCGCAAAGCAGAAACAAACCCCACAACCTCAGTCGTTGCAGGGAGCGAGTGCCCAGCTGCCTCTTGCCCTTCGCTGCGTGGGACAAGTGGTGAGATGGCCTTTTGTTATGCAGTGCCCTGTGCCTGTTGTTCAGCTGGCGAGGACAGACTGTCCCTTCCAGAGAAACCCCTTGCATAAGAATTAAAGAGGAGCCGGGCTGAGATGCTGAACTAATCCACCAGGGCATGCCGGGAAGCTGCATTTTAAGCCATTCTCCCTGCGCTCCCATCTCCCTGCGCGTTGTTTATCTCTCCTGTCCCTCCCACAGCAGTACGTGAGTTATCCTGACTGGGCAAGCTGGTTTCATAACCGCCTGCGCTGCGTCTCGTCCCGCCACCCCTCAAGTCGCATGGGAGATGCTCGTACATAGGAGGCTTTTTAGCTTTGCCCAGTTTGCGCTGCTGTGAAGAGCAAGCCCACACAAACACCTCTCTCCCCTCCACCATGCACGCAGTATCTGCACGCTGTGCATGCATATGGCTACTATGGCCACATGTGCTCTCCCCTGGCACAAGCACACACACTGTCACCACACAGAACCATCGCTGGCTCCTTACGCATGTATGTGACTTTGCAGGTATGTGACTCTTAGTGAGCTCACTTGTACATGCAAAACTGGCACACTTGTCACACTGTCCCAGCTGCTCCTCTGCCATGGTGTGGCCCTTGGGTGTGTGTGATACCTTGTCCCCCTTCAGCTACACCCTTCACCTGGGACACAGGCTTGAAGCTCACCCTCCCCATGGACACGTATGTACATGGCACATGTCAAATGCGCACCGTACACAGATGTGGCACTATGCATCATAGGATCATAGGATGAATTATGTTGAAAGAGACTTCAGGACAGCTTTGGTTCAGTCTCCTGCTCAAAGTGGGGTTAGCAAAGAGGTCAAATGAGGTCACTCAGACCTTTCTCTGGCCACGTAAACCTCTAAGGATGAAGGCTACACAGCCTCTCTGTGCAACTTTTCCCCATGCCTGGCTCTCTCTGGGGATAGATCTCCACGGTATTCAAGCTAGACCTCTCCTGTTTCAACATGTGCTTGTTGCCTCTTATTCTCCTACCATGCACCACTATGAAGAACTTGGCTCTGTTTTCTACCAAGACTCCCAGGTCCTTTCTCACAGAGCTGTTCTCCACCTGACAGGTCCCCAGCCCATACTGGGGCAAGGGTTTCTTCCTTCCCAGGTGCAGGGTTGTGGGTTTGCCCTTGCTGAACTCACAATGTTCCTGCAGGCCCATCCCTCTGATGACAGCCCTGCTCTCAGACATGTTGACTTGTTCCCCCTCCAACTCTGTGTCATCTGCAAGCTTGGTGGAAGTGCACCCCATCACCTCCTCCAGGTCATCAATAACACGAAAGGTCCCAGGACAACCCCCTGAGGCACCCCACTTGGTACCAGCCTCTATGTAGAGCATAACCCATTAACAACTACTCCCCAAGCCTGACCAGCCAACCAGGTTCTTGCTCATCTGCTTGTCCACCTGTTGAGACCACAACAACTTTTTACTTGGGTGTTAGAACACCGTGTGAGATGTTACCAAAAGCCTGGCTGAATTTGAGGTAAATAACTTCCACTACTCTCTCCTTTGCCACAGCTGCAGTCATTTTGTTGAAGAAGGTGATCAGGTTGTTCAGGCACGATTTACCCTTGGTAAATCCACACTGATGGTTACCAGTCACCTTCTTCTCCTTCATGTGCCAAGAAACGTGCTCCAAGAGGACCAGCTTCAGGGTCCAAATGAATCTGACCAGCCTGTAGTTCCCAGGATTAAACTTTTAGCCTTTTCTTTCTGAAGAATAATGAATTATTTGCCTTTCTCCAGTCATGTGTGACCTCTTCTCACCTGTACTGCTGTACCCAGCCTCCCCTCCAACCAGTCTCCCAAGCAAAAGTCATCTCACAGCTGAATTGCCTTCTGCCTAACCAGTCCTATATTTTATTTGGCCTGACCTGCAAATCTTCCTACAGGGTGAATGTGGCTTCTTAGCTGTCTGTTCTTTGCTCCTGCTGTTCCTAAGAGAGAAAGGGAGAGAGCTGTGTCTCTGAGCCCCGGGGTTGCTTCTCTTCTTTGTGGGCTGCACATCCTCTCACTAGAGGCTTTGATAAGTTTACACGGCTGTCAAAAGCCATCCCCAGTGCCATGCAGAAAGGCAGACAGGAGTAGAGCAGCCTCACCTCACCCTTCCAGGAGGATGGGACAGGGTTGTCCCACCTCATGGCTCTGCCACAG